AAAAATCAGGCTCAGCACCTGTGGCTCGAGCAGCTAAGGCGCCAGCCACATACACCTGAGCTGGCGGGTTTGAATCCAGCCTGGGCCCACCAAACATGGATGGCTGCAACCAAAAAATAGCTGGTTGTTGTGGCAGGCACCTGTAGTCCCCGCTACTTGGGAGACTGAGGCAAGAACTCACTTGAGCCCAGGAGTTGGAGGTTGCTGTGAGCTGTGAAGTCACAGCACTCTACCCAGGGTGATGGCTTGAGGCTGTCTCAAAAAAAAAAAAAAGTTAAAAATCAGTTCCACATTTGGGAAAACGAATGGCATATATGAGAAAATACACTGGACACCATTCCTCAGCAGGTCCAGAGTGTTACCTCTGGGTGAGCATCTCACCCAAACGTGGAAGAGTAGGAGAAAGGCAACTTCTCAGTGGAGTCTGGTCCATTTTCTTTCAAAAGTTACCCAACCCATCCACTTCTCTCAGCCACAGGCTCAGTACTTTGGTCCAAGGAATTAGCAATTCTTACTGGCAACCACCCTGCTGGCCTGGCAGGTCCACTCACTCTCTTTCCATCACAACACAGTGATTTTCTCTTTTTTTGCAGTTTTTGGCCAGGGCTGGGTTTGAACCCAGCACCTCCAGCATATGGGGCCAGCACCCTACCCCTTTGAGCCACAGGCGCCGCCCTGATCTTTTTTTCTCTCAAATGAAATCTAAACTGGCCACTCTCTGCTTAAAATCTCTGATGGATCCTCACTACTCTTGGGGGATAAAACCCCGAGCTCCTTACCGTGGTCCCAGGCCCCCAGGCTCCCTTCAAACCTCCTCTGGAACCACAGCACCACCTGCCACAAGTGGCCTTTCTATGCTCCCAAGCTGCCTGAGACACCCTCAAATATTTGTGCAAGTAGGCAGATTCAGACACAAAGAAAACCTTGCCGCCCAGCATGGGCCCGCACATACCCTCTTTCTTCCTCTTCTTGTTACTGACAGGGTTTTTTATCTCCTGGCGGCTCCTCATAATCTCCCGGAGCCGGAAAGGGATTTCCTGTTCGTCCTGGTTCTTGGGCTTGCAATTCACTTTCTTCTTGTCTTTGCTGGGAAAGACAACACAGGGGCGAAACCCATCTCAAACAAAGCTTAAGCAAAGTCAAGAGAAAGAGAAGTCGGGCCTAGAGAAAGAAACCACAGGGGCCACCTCTGGCTGGTGTGGTGCGAGCCAGTCCAGGGAGCAGGCAGGACCTTTGCTCTTATCCTCACTCAGAAGCTGTCCCTGAACTCTTCCTCGCAGGGCGCTGGGAAGAAAGACGCTCCGAAAGCCCAGGGGGCCGGTCACTCTCCGAGCAGCGAATATGGGACAGCTGGGACTGGCAAATGCTAAAAGAGAGGCTCCCTCGCCCCCATTTATTTATTTACCCGACCTTCGCGGAGCGTGGGCCACGAGCCCAGAGTAAGGGCACTAAGCCCGGCCTAGGAGGGATGTATAAGGGAGAGGTCCCCGGAGCGGGTCCGACAACAGCCTTCCGGGGGTCCCCTCTTCCTGGGAGGGTACACACCTGCGCTTCCCTGGCCGTGGGGCCGAGCTCTGCTTTCCCCGCAGCTCTTGCTGCCGCCGCCGTCGCGCCTGAGGTCGCCCAGAGCTCTGGGGCCCCGCCGTCCCAGCGGGCGACCCCCGTCCGACACCATTTCCCGCCATATCCAAACCCCGCGCTTCCCTAGCAAAGCCACTTCCGCCCTGCTGCGCGGTTCCCACTCCTGTCGCCACTTCCGCTTCCGGTGCCCAGCAGCTCGGTCATTGGAGTGATGTGGCTGGCTTCGGGTCGCGGTTGGCCAGGGCGGCCGCTGGTCACGTTGCGGGTCTTGAGTATCGGGCAATGTTGCTGCGGACCGTGACCGAAGGAGGCCGAGTGGGGGCCGCAGCGGCCCATATCTCGGCAAGTACCCGGCGGGGGGTGGAACAGGCCGAACGGGGTGGCCATGGGCGCCCTGTCAACGGGCTGTGCGTCCCGGTGGGAGCCCGGAGGCTCCCGTAGGGTGCGGTGGCCGAGAGGCGCCCTGGCCTCCGTGCGCCCGTGCGGGGCGGAGCGGGGACACCACGTGCTGGGCGCTGCGGCGGCCCAGCCTGTCACCGTGGAGGGGCCATGTAGCCCCGGGATGGCAACAACTCGGGGTGAACAAACACGTTCTCCTTCTACAGCATCTTTTGAGCGCCTGCTGTGTGTCCTTCTAAGCTTTGGAGATTGGCCGAGGAGGCGTTAGACAAATAAATGAAGTGCGTAGTGTGTCAGAGAAGGAACAGGGACCAAAGATTGCAGCAGGGAGGGGAGGCTGCCCATAGGGCCTGTTGGGGAATTCATGTGTGAGGATGAGATGGCCCAAGAGGTCTGGGCTTCTCATGTGTGAGAGATAAACGGTGATGCGATTAGTCGGGATGGTCTATCAGAACAAGAGAGCAGGACTTGTGCTGTACCTGCCTCCTTTCCTGTTTGGAGAGCAGTCATTTTGCTGCAGGGGTCAAGCTCCTCTCCCCTCAAACTGTCTGCTGGAGTGCACACCCAGCTGTAGGCCTGGAACCCAGCACTTCCTATGCCATATCACACTCACACCATCCATTTTACAGATGGGCAAACTGAGTCTAGAAAGGTCAGATAACTTGCCTAAGGTCGGTTAGGAAGTGGAAAAGCTGAGGACAGGCAGCCACATGCCCAGTGACAAGACTGAAATTTTTGGCTCGGCGCCAATAGCTCAAGCGGCTAAGGCGCCAGCCACGTACACCTAAGGTGGCCCGTTCGAATCCCCAGCCTGGACCCGCCAAACAACAATGACAGCTGCAACCAAAAATAAATAAATAAATAAATAAAGGTTAAGACTGAAATTTCCCCATACTGGGGGTAGGCAAGGCTTTCCCAGCTTCCCAGAGAGTCACACGTTTATCTTCATCATTAGGGGACACGCTGGCTCTCCAGCTGGGCCTGCTGCCAGAGGCTTCCTGGAGGCACCAGGGTTCTTCCCTGGCACCATCCCCGGCCAGGAGCCTGGGATGGTTGCAGAGACTTTGGGACAGACCACATGAAGATGGGCACCCAAGGTGGCACCAAGTATCCCAAGGCTTCCCTGCCCAGCGGGGGCCGCTCAGAACTCCAGGGCCCTCTGCCACCTGAGCTCCAGCCCCCAACAAACTGCTGCATGAGTGGATGCCCCAACTGCGTGTGGGTGGAGTATGCCAAGGCACTGCTGCAGCACTACCAGGATGGTGGTGAGCGGGCCCTGGCCTCCCTGGAGGAGCACGTAGCCGATGAGAACCTCAAGGCCTTCCTCAGGATGGAGATTCGGCTCCGGGCAAGACGGGAAGGCTAAGCAACAGGCAGGCACACTTTCACCCTGGACAGAGACTCCAGCCAAGCAGCATCTGTTCCGGGAGCATCAGCCTACTTCATTCATACCCAATATGAGTGTGTTGTGTCCAATAGGAATGGGAAAAATTATTTATCAACTTTACCTGAGAAAAAATAAATTCTCTATGGTGGTTTAATAGTAGGCTTTTGTACTGTTGTCTGAAAGGCCTGTGTTGTCTCTTCAAAGGAAGCAGGTACAGATTGGCATTGCACCTCCTGCAACCCTCACCAACCTAGGAGGACCCAGGTGCACAGGGCTATGGGGCCATAAAGGAAGGATTTTCAGGCTCGGCACCTGTGGCTCAAGTGGCTAAGGCGCCAGTCACATACACCTAAGGTGGCAGGTTCAAATCCAGCCTGGGCCCGCCAAACAACAATAATGGCTGCAACCAAAAAATAGCCAGGCGTTGTGGCGGGCACCTGTGGTCCCAGCTACTTGGGAGGCTGAGGCAGGAGACTCGCTTGAGCCCAGGAGTT